TGGCCCGGCTGGACGGCTCCTTCAAGAACGCCGTGATCCAGGGGCTGGACAAGCCCCACTGCCTGGTGGTTCACCCCCTCCGGGGGTGAGTCTGGTGGGATGTGATGCCAGCAGGTTGGGGTTGGGCTGGGAGCATCCCAGGAGGAGGAGGAGGTGTGTGCACAGGCACATGTGTGTGCATGGCAGTGCACACGTGTGATGGAGGAGAGAACAGGTCACTCTCCCTGTGTGTCAGCACGTGTAGGAGGTGTGTGAGAGGAGATGGGGGCACGTGATGTGTGTCCATACACACGTGTGTGAAGGAGAACAGGCTGTGGATAAGTGTGAACCCACCAGCACGTGCTGCTCTGGGTGTGCACAGGGCTCTGGCAGACCCCAAACCCCCTCCTGGGTCCTGCGCTGGGGGCGAGGGGCTGCACAGGGCTGGGAGGGCCCAGGGGGTGCTGGCACTGTGTCCCTCACCCATCGTCCCCTCACCCTGCAGGAAGCTGTACTGGACAGACGGGGACAACATCAGCGTGGCCAACATGGACGGCAGCAACCGCACGCTGCTCTTCACCAACCAGAAGGGACCCGTCGGTACAGACCCCCCGGGACCCCCCATCTCACCTTGCTGTGCCTGCTCTGGCTCCCCAGGGGGGTGGCAGCTGCCCTGTGCTGGGTCACCCTGACCTCACCTGCCCACTCTCTCCATCACTCCTGGCCCTGCCAGTCCCATCCCACCTCCTGGCCAGTGGCAGTCCCTGTGGGCCACTGGGCCACTGATGTTCCCGTCCTTTCCAGGCCTGGCCATCGACTACCCGGAGAGCAAATTGTACTGGATCAGCTCTGGCAATGGCACCATCAACAGGTGTGACCTGGATGGCAGCAACCTGGAGGTGATCGAGTCTGTGCGGAGCCAGCTGAGCAAGGCCACGGCCCTGGCCATCATGGGTGAGGGCGAAGGGGGACACCCTTCCCTGTCTCCTGGCCCTGCCCAAGCTCTCGTGCCCACCTCTCCCACCTCAGCGGGGGCAGGAGGGGATGGGGAACGCTGCCACACGCTCCTGCCTTTTCCTGCCAGGGGACAAGCTGTGGTGGGCTGACCAGGCCTCCGAGAGGATGGGCACCTGCAACAAGAAGGACGGGACGGAGGTGACGGTGCTGCGCAACAGCACCACGCTGGTGATGCACATGAAGGTGTACGACGAGAGCATCCAGCAGGGTGAGC